ATAGGTAATATGACATTCTAAGACAATTATTTATGTATTTAATTTTTGATTTTATTTGACTGATTTGTTATCGTTTTACTTGACAATTGTACACAATATTGACATTTTTAATTGATATTATTTGCACGATTGTACCTATAACTTGTTGGCGCGTTGGATTTTCTGTAAGCCTTCAAGCAGCCTTCTAGAATAAATAAATAAATAAATAAATAGAAATTTCTTACAAAACTTGCGCCCAAACAGCAAATCTAGTATGAAAATCATCATACTTCTGATGCTCGTAACTCAGTTCAGACTGAGTTTAGAGGTATACATGTCCTACTAAGTTTGGTTTATTACACTATTTTGTAATCAAAAAACAAGGTTTGGTCGATGGCCGCCCGAAAAAAAAAAGACGCCAATTTCCGGCATTGTCTTTTACTTATTTGATTTCATGGGCGTCGCTTTGAAGGACTTATGCCCGTATTCACAAGCGATACTTGCTTAAGTAAATCACAGCGTTGAATAGAACTCTTTAAAATTTCAAGTTAAGGCTAGGATTTACCGCCTCGATGCCGTGCATTCGTTTACCTCAGCCCCCGCACACCTCGCACTGACACTCGCGCGACGCGATGACGCCATAGTGTAAAAACAAGCCGTAAGTTGGATTAAACCGTAACCTTCAAACAGTGAATAAATAAATAATAAAATTAAATATCCTTCGACATAATATTTTAACACTGCGCCTCTAGTCTCAAACTAAGCAAAGCTTGTACTATGGGATATGAACATACTTAAATAACATAACATAAATAAATACATTCATATTATGGTTAGAAAACACCCAGCCCGAAACAAACATTATTATAATGTTCATGCACACAAATGTTTGTCAATCAATAATGTCAAATAAAGATGATAATATTAAGTCAAACAAATACTTTTTATCGACAAAAATAGTAAGTAAATGATCACAAAAATGTAAACTCCATTTTAATATGAAATANTATCGACAATTTGGGAAATCATGGCCTTAAGACTTTCGATTTCGAATCGTTTGCGTATTCGAATCGCCATCAAGATTTAATACGAAAACTGCAACAGCGCCCTTGTGAACGTGTCGTAAAGTGAACTTAGTAGGTATGAGAAATGGTTGCACGAAACTTATTTTGAGAATCAAAATGGTCACGTTATCGTTTAATTCCAAGGTTGAGTATCGATATCGAATACGCAAACGATTCGAAGACGAAAGTTGTTCATGCTAGAGGTACGGTACACACTGATAGTTGAATTTCCAAGTGAATATTAATTTGCTTATAACCAAACTAGGTACCTATATTGTGGCCCCTGCTAACTTTTATGTCAGATTGCGGTATGCTAAGACCCTTTACAAAATGTTAAGCAATTGTTTCCTTTAACTCAATACCGTTAGAGTTGAATTTGTATGGATAAACGTTAACCTCTCTACAAGGCCGATAAGAAATATAAGTTATTGTTCGCTAGTCAATAATCCGCGCTAAAGTGCTAATAGAATTTTACTACAGCTGATAACATTGTTTCCAACCGAAATAAATTCCAAGAAAACTCAAAAAAATACCTAACAGTAGTCACAGCAATTACCCTAGAATTAAAAACATTCATCTACAATACTTCGTCCATGTTATTCATATAATAATATTTATCTTAAATACGACATGGGTTTTAAAATTTATTTGAAAAAGTTGTAAACTGTAAAGTATTTTAAACATCGGAAAATTATGAGATCATTTTTTTATAAAAAAATTAATGAAGTTCAAAATGGCTCAGCCATTGCTAACGTCAACCGGAGAATAGGGCATTATAAGAATTGCCCGTAATTATTTTGTATTCCATACCTATTTACGGAAGATAGATAAGGATATGCCTACTGGTTAAGAATATGATCAATTGTTGCTATTAATGGTCAATAACAAATTTTAAAAACCACTATAATAGTGCTCAAATCATATTATGTCTTACCTGCTGCACCTCCGCTGTGGTAGATCGAAATAATTCGATATATCGTGCTCCTATTAATTTCCTGTGCCTCGAAAGCGCTTTGGGCGCGTCATCTTCCTTCGCGAATAGCACAAAGGCGTCGCCAGTGGCTCGGCCATCGGCTCGCCGAACGAAAAGTACGCCTTCAGCGCCATCTAGCACTTGCACTGGGTCGTCACCCGTTGAGAAGAATTCCAACTGGAAAAGGGAAAGAATGTAGGGTTAATTGATTTTTATTACGTTTCAAAATAATTCTGATTAATAAACTGATAGAAGCACAAGTAGTACAATTTCACTAAAAGATTGTGATGAACTTACTGTATCTAGCTCATATGATTTGCTAAATACCTATGAGAATTTTAGATAAAAATTGTTTCTTTGTGATGGCTGTAATACTTTGTAGGTAGGTACTTTTTAAAATCAGGAACTTTGTTTTTATAGAGACTTGTAACTTATAGGAAAACAGATCCCTTAGACAAGATAGATTTATGACATGCTAATTTTAATTTCTAAGTCGCTTCACGGAACGCAGTAACAACATAGGTACATTTTTGTAAAACAAAACGCTGAAGCGAAGTGATTTTGGAATTTCAAAGGCCACGTTTTGTAGCTTTTCTGAAGTCGTTAGCACTCACAACTTGCTGAGGCTGCGCGTCGTAAGGCAAGCCGCGCATGCGGACGATGACCTGCGCGCCTCGCGACAGGAACGCCGCCGCCTCGCACGTCGCTCCGCCCGCTACCGACAAGAAGTCTTCGCCGCTCGCACGGTACACCTGAAGAAGAAGAATAGTGTTGAATTCAAAGAAAGATACATTTATTACAATGGACATCACACAAATACAGGCAATCTAAATCTATAAAAGCGAATGGTCACTGACTGACTCACTCACTCATCACGAAATCTCAGAAAATACAAGTGCTAGGAGTCTAAAATTTAGAACGTAGGTGCTCACTAAGACGGGATTTTGCAAAATTCAACCCCAATGTGGGTAAAACGAGGTCCACGCGTACGAAGTCTCGAAGGCTAGTTTACATACAAACATAACAGTTGCAGTGGCACATGATAATAAATAGCAAGAAAAACAAAAACAAGAGTGAACTGAGAAGTGCCACCTACTCACTACAGTTTCACGACCCTGGCACGGTAATAATATCATACAGTATTGTAACTTCATATAAACCGACGAAACTCGAGCTTTCCTTCGAAATTCAAATCACGGTATGCGCTCGACATGCAAAAGTCGGGGGTGTCGCGAATGGGCCATAGTAATAAACGGACGATGTGTTGTTTTTTAGACAGTGCTTTTTTATAAAAATAATTACAAGTAGCTATTTATACAGGGTGTTAGGTAAATGTGTTTATAAGCCGACACTAGCCCATATTATTATTATTATTAAAAAATAAATAAATATGTTAACATTTATGTATGTAAATGGTATGGTGAAGTCAGTGATGCCATTTTTAATTTTTTTTATTTTCATACAAAATAATTTATAAAATCAGATTTTTATGAAAATTAAAATTATTAAAATGAATAAAATGATGATACCAATTTTCCGACTACACCATACCATTAATATGCACATGTTAACATGGGCTAGTGTCCGCTTATAAACCCATTTACCTAACACCCTGTATAAATCAAGCATTTTGTACGCCTTAGTCGAGGCGCATACATTTTACGGTCGCAAATTTATAAGATTTGTTACTAAATCTTAACACAAATATATTTTTTAAATTAAATCTACTAATGACAAGACAACATGCATTTTTATCCTATTTCATTCATAAAGTATTTTATTTGTCAAAATAAAATAAAAATTACAATCACAAAATACATTCACAAAACTATATAGAAATTCTTAGTAGGCAGTTGTAATGAAAATAGGGTCTACAGGTAGGCAGCCCTACCGCATGTTGTCATACCGTGACGTTCCGCGCGGATGTTGACATTTATTTCAAAAATATGGTCGAGTTGGAATACTGTATAGATAGTATTACCGTGACCCTGGTTTTCAGTGTGCCCCAATTTAGTTTTATGCTATGCAACCTTTTTGATGCAAATGGGTTCACCACAATAGTGCAACGGCGGCGGGGATCGAACCCGCGTTCGTCGGATCACGAGTCAGCCAGTCAACACTTTTACCATTCGGCAATATTAGGGCACTTGGGAACAACATATCTCGACTGGTGCTGAAAAGTGGCGTAAGAAACACAATCCGTCTAACTAATGATGATAACTTTCCCCCGGAACAAACATCATTGGTTGGGTTTTTATTGACGGTCAAGCTGTAGATCCTGGCTGCACAGGAGTTGCAGCGGTGGGAACGAGAGACGGGAATAGTCCCATAATGATGATGAATTAGGGATTTGATTAAATTAACCTTGTCCAGTCTCTAAACTAGAGCCCTTTCGTTCGCAGGGTGATTGCCACCACTGAGCTAACGAGAACGTTCCGATTGAGCTACCAATGGCGGCTCATTAAATTTGACATTAGTGTTGTAACTTCAGTTCACCTACCTCAATGTACCGAGGGCCGATGTGGTGTTTATGCCGCTTGAGCGCCATATCGCGGTGCTCCTGCGAGATGAACCGCACCAACGCTTCGCCGTTACGGCGCCCCTGCGGCGACAAACACAGCGCTACTCCGCCCCTGCACAGATACATAAAGAAGTTAAAACTTAAAATTATGTAAGTAGTAGTCTGGAACTATTGCAGGATTAATAAAGCCTAGATGGATAGTCTTCATACAAACGCTTCGTCACAAAAATTGAGGCGAAAATCTTGTCATTCAACTGTCAAAACGTTGTTAAAAATGTTTAAATTGAGCTGTTTTTTTTTCGAAAGTGAGAGATTTTTATCCACATTTAACGTAATAAAATATTATTTTTTATTTAATAATTATTTAAAGACATTTAAATTAAAACAATTAAGTTTCAAGTTTCAAGTGGGGCAAAATGATCCGCTAAAAGTTGCCTCACTTTTCGTGCTTCTAGCACAATTTCTAGGCTTTATTAAAATCTATGCCGCAGCGCTACTCCGAAACTAGTATTACCGTGCCAAAACGCAGTTTGCATAGTTTCGGATATTTATCTGTCACAACAACAACTGCAACTGGATGGCAATATTCGAAACTTCGGATAACATTTTTTGAAGTAAAGGCGCTAAATCGATTTTGAATTTGTATTCAACAACAGAATTATAGTAGCTACACATTGGATTGGCTCGCTCTTTATTGTTATTGTATTTATTTATTTTTTAATTACGAAGAAATATTTTTTTTACTTTGATTTTTTTATTATTCAAGAGTACAAACTTACTTGGCAACATTGAGTCCTCTGAAGAACTTTGCGATGTCTTGGTCGGACGACTGCCAGGGCAAGCCGCGGGCGCGAACGATGCAGTTGCCGTCTATTTCATCGTCTTTTGAGCTGTAACAACAGAAACCATATTTTAATTGAGTAGTAAAAAAAAATAAACAACTGGATCCGACAGGAATTGAACCCACGTCCTTCGCTTGCTGAGCCACCGCTCTGCTGACCGCTGAGCTATCGAAAAATTGGTCAAAATTGTATGTAAGTTAATAAATAATTTATACTAATATTATAAATGCGAAAGCAACTCTGACTGTCTGTCTCTCTTTCACGCTTAAACCACTGAACCGATTTTGATGAAATTCGGCATAGAGATAGTTTGAGTCCCGGGAAAGGACATAGGATAGTTTTTTTTATCCCGGTTTTTGAAACAGGGACACGCGCGATAAAGTTTTTCTGTGACAGACAAAATTCCACGCGGGCGAAGACGCGGGCGGAAAGCTAGTGATCCATAATTACAAGAATCCCAACACTAATACAAATCTACAAAAAAATAATGTCTTGGTAATATATTATTTTAATCAAGGAAAATATATCCATATCTTTTCATAGTAGTAGCTGAGGTCTTTAGCCGATAAAGACGTCTAAGAATTATTCAACCTTCGAAGTTCATAATATTAAAAATAACTTTTATTACAATTAACTGACCTAAATATTTAACTTGGTAATTAAAAAGCAGCTGATTGATAAAACAACACTAAATTATCGACACAAAACATAACATAAAACGACAAGAGTCGCTAAGATAATTAGTTTTACATCGTGCCTAGACAAAACGCACTTTATGATCGAATCGAAAATCGAATCCGTCAAAACTCCATACAAAAAAGGGGCTTTTCGACCACTTTTCGACTGGTTTGCGATTATAATTTGCACTTTGTCTAGACCTACAGCCCCCCTAGACAAAACGCACTTTTTGATCGAATCGAAAATCGAATCCGTCAAAACTCCATACAAAAAAGGGGCTTTTCGACCACTTTTCGACTGGTTTGCGATTATAATTTGCACTTTGTCTAGACCCACAGGTCACTTTATGACAGTCACATGGACAGCTCATCCAGATGTCACGGTCTGTGGATGATTGAGAATTAAGACTCTAAATAAATATCACATTACAACTTAAAAAAGGTGGAAATAATGTCCAGGGAAAAAGGTCGATACCATTCTTGGGTTATCAAACAAACCTAGACTATTGGCGCATTATTCCCTAATTGGAATCTTCAAGAATCCTCTAGTCCAATACTGGCCATCATAATATTTCGATAGATATAAGTAGATAGGACTGCGCAAAGTGCGCATGTGACCTCATTCATCAAAATAATTACTAAAATAATCTATTATACGTGTAAATATTAATCCGATAGGTAAGTGATAATATGTAATTCATTATTTTTTACTGTTCAAAGTTACCCTGAAATTCAAAGTTACCCAAGTTAATGTATGTAATTTCAAGAACATTTTGCATTTGCACAGCATGTCAGTGGTTTGACCTCAGAGATCATCAGATGCTCAGTAAGAATAAACACAACATAACTAGACTGGCATACAATGTTAAAGTTACTTCTTAGTTCACACGTACTGTGAATACCTAGATATAGCTATCCAATGTGAAATACAAAGGCTCGTATTCTAAAACGAGGATTCCACGAACGTTTCAACAAACGTCGCGACGGTTTTACACTATAGTATCTTATGGATAGTTATAAAAGGTGTAATTTTGTATCAAACTTTTATGGAACGTTTCAGTGTCACTCCTTAATTTCTTTTGAATAAATTTATTCTTATAAGTACTTTTAAATCGATCTCCCAATAATAGGATTACAATCCCAATACTTAGGGTGGATTCGATCAAACAAGAGTAAATATTAATCTCAGAATAAATCGTCAGTTTTGACATATTTCCCATACTGAAACTGTCAATGTGCCAGTTATACCAAGAGTTATTCTCGGATAAAAGTTTAGTCGCATCAGGACTTAATCGGACTCGTAAAACATTTTACTGTAAAACATAATTTTAATAAGTAATTAATTTATGAATACGAGTAATGATGTCCACCAAAAAAAAAATAAGTACAGAGAGAAAATAATTACAAGAAAATTCAAACATATTTTGTCATAAAACCTTAGATTAAATCCGAATTTTATGAATATTTTCCTACTAAGTGTGTAGGAACGCAGTGTGTGAAACAAGCTCTTATCGGCGCGTGCGTTATCGTGTCGTAAAAAATAATGGTCTCGCTAGACTCACGGCTCAAGTATTACAACTGAAAAACTTACTTGTAAAAAACTACAGGAATGTAATGCAATCGACTCTTGAATCAGTTATATATGAAATGACAATCGACTATGAATCTTAGTACTTATACTCTAGACTCCATTTTTATCATCATCAGATTATTCGAGGCGACAATAGCCAAACAACTGCACGCAGGTAGATTTAAATTTGTAGCAGAGTTTTGGGGTGACACTGTTATGTTATAGGTTTGTTGTCGATACAACAAGAAGAAGAATAGCCCAACTGTGTAAGTGTCGGAGTTCAATTCGAGGGTTGGTAGTTCAAACCCTGCCGCTGCTGGACTCTTTATTGTGGTGAACTAACTTCCTCAACCAACTTCCCAGTCCCAGTCCTAACTTCATATTGGAGGGTTAACGGGACTAATTAGTTATGCAATAATGCAATAACTGTCTAAGATGTTTTTATGATAACTGTATGTACACATTACAAAAAAATCTCCACTGCAGGAGACCCTCTCCAATTTACGAGTACTAGAGGCCACAGGCCAATGGAAGAAGGAAGATTGGATCTCCTTACGTTCTTTTATACCATGTTTTTGGTTTGCTAAAAAAAGTAACTACGCTACGTTATTTTAGCTCTAAATACGAAGTTACGAAGTACGACTACGAAGTTTTACACCAGTCTAAGACTGAGTTGCACCACCTAACTTTGACCGTAACTATTTTATAACAATAACCAGTGTTTTTTGTATGGATTTTGACAGATTTTTGACGTTTGTCAAAGTTAAAGTAAGATGGTGCAACCCAGCCTAAAAACTAGGCAAGATGCAGAAAACAGTAATTTCAAAACGGCCTTGTGAGTTGTGCTATGGTTTAGACTTCAAAGTCAAACTCAAGTGACAGCATAAAGTAAACAGCGGCGCTTCTCGCGCATTGTTCAGATTGTTTTGCTTCATCCATAATGGACATTGTGTCCATGGGACTGTTCACAAGTGTATTTTTATTAGCCGAAAGAACGTTCAGATGTTGAGTCACATACCTACCACTAACAGTTTGGCTTCTACTGAATTATACAAACGCCCCCGTAATGTAAACCCTTGATTTTGGTAGATCGTTTACGGTACTCCTTTTGTCATGTAACTAACATCATATAAGAAAGAAAGAAAAACATTATACTACTTGAACTATAGGTCTTCTAGACCAAAAATATTAATTGAAAATCACACATATAAGTATTTTTAACATATTGGTTATAACAAAGCATGCTTGAATCAACCAAATTTACTGAAAATGACGATTTGGAAGTACCCTACCCTGCTATGTCAGCGAAATGACCACAGAAATGACGCTCTAAAGTTTCGTCATTTACAAATTAATATAACTATTAACTACCTATATTTCCTTAATACTCGTGTCTCGTATTCAATGAATGATTTAGTCTACGTTGAAATTGCAATAGTTTCAGTTTTCCTTAATGAATTAATTCCATGATTTACGGAATTATTTGCTTGAGTGATAATGCGAATGGAACTATCACCAAGGTTGTATAAAGGACGATGATCTGATAAAATACTCATATTACTTACAGTTAAGTGGGCCATTAATGATCGTTTGTTTACCAATGACTAGTTATCAATGGATAGTTTTAAATATCCTCAGTTAACACAGTGATAAGTATAAGAGACTGTGGTTTATATTAAATATGCTGACTGATTGATACGATATTTCTAAAAACTAACAGAAAACCTATTTATAAATATTAGGCTGGGTTGCACCATCTTACTTTAACTTTGACAAACGTCAAAATTCTGTCAAACTCTAAAAAAACACTTAAAAACTCGTTAAAGTTACGGTCAAAGTTAGGTGGTGCAACTCAGCCTTACACTACAAGGTGTGTTACTAATTAATTATCAAGATTTAGTTGAAGAACAAGGGTTTTGGCCTAAATCTCACTTACTTAGGTCTGATTTGGCTGGCAAATAAAAACAAAATCAAAAATATTTTATTTTATTTTGACCACTGGTGGCACTTATAAACGTCAAGGCTGGCTTCATCATAACATGAAGAGAGTTTGATCAGTAATCTACTTATTCAGCCGCACAAAATCAATCGGGTTAATATGTGAATTCACTGAACCCGATTGTGTTGATGTGTGATGTTTCATGAAATTCCGTCCAGTAGTATTTTTTTTTCAACTGAGTAGCTAACATTCATCCAAAAAGAAATATAATAAAATTAGAACTGTCAGACAGTTCAGCAGACCGAATGACGCAAGATCACTATAGGCTTATGTCTAACATGGATTGGGAACTCAAATGTTAAAAGTGTAGAAGGAGATTGGCCTCAAAGTAGATAAATTTACAATGTAGGTGCTTAACTTGCTAGATACGAAGGGTTTATTCCTTCCAATAAAACTGAGGATGACGCATTTAAAGATTCATAGCAGGGAATATTTTCATACGAAGCTAACGGATTGAAATCATCGCTGAGTAATTAATTACACAAACATAACGCTATTAAATCAATTTCAAATGAAAAGTCATGCTTACAATTTAAGTTTACTTCAAATGCGTTGTTTGTCCACATTTTGGTGTCGAAATCGCGACATGAAACTTCAAATCGACAAGATTTATTAGGTATGTTGACGATTGCAAATCCGCTGTTTGTATATTCGTTAGCATATCATACAAATTTTCGTTGCAAAATCGCATCTATAACAAACTACATAGATGCCACTGTTTTTAACTTGATGTGCGTTAGAAATGTTCAAACTTTCAGCGGATTTACGCCATTAAGTCTTGGTCATCAAGGTGCATTTGTGT